GGGGTCCCACCCCACCCCCCCCCCCCCAGCCGCCAAGGGTGGCCAGGGCCGGCCTCCCTCTGGCCGGAGGGGGGTGGCCCAAGGAAAAAGCAGAGCCAGAAGCAGCTTCCCTTCCCCCTGGAAGGGCCCTCAAGAGGCATGGAGGCTACGGCAGGACCCAGCGTAACCACCAGTTGGATTTGAACCTGGGACCTCTGACGCGTCGCATAGGCGCCTCTACCCCCTGAGCCACGAGCCAGCTGGCTCCGCCCCTGCTGCAACCGTCTCTTGAGCTTAGCTGTTGCTCTGGTCCAGGTGCCACACGGGCCAGTGACCTGCCAGGCTGTGTCGACACTACAGCTGAATTCCCAAATAACACAGCTGGCCACAAAATGCATTTCGACATAGCGCGTCCGCGCTGACTCGCATTTAAGGCCCGTCACAACTGGTTCCGGCAGGGCATCAGGTCAGACGTTACCTCGTGGCCAGGGCGGCCAGCAGGGCACCTGGGAAGGGCTGGAGGCCCCCTAAGCGTCCACACAGCACTAGTTTTGAAATGGCAATTTCGAATTTGGCGCTATTCCTCGTGGAAGGAGGTTTCCCAATTTCCAAATAAGGCCCCAGCTATTTCGATTTAATTTTGAAATAGCAGTTGGCTTGTGTAGACGCTGGGACAGTTATTTCGAAATACCGTTGCTGTGTAGACACACCCCTTAATGTGTGGGGGTTACACCCTCACCAGCTACCAGCCCTGCTAGCCGATCCGCTGTTTCCCCGGCTGTAGGGTGGGGCTCTTTCAGAACAGGGCTTCTCGGGGGTGCCGGACTAGGGAGGTGCGCCCAGTGCTGCTTAGCAAAGGGCGTGGCTGACGGACAGGCCGTACGGCGCCAGGGGAGGGGGTGCCTGCTGGGAGCTGGCCGGGGTCCTCGCGGGACTGCCTGCGCCGGCGGGAAAAGGGAACGCGTGCGGCGGAACGGCCGGCTGGCCGCGTGTCGGGAAATCCCCCTTGCAAGGTGCCGCGTGACCCATGTCGCTTCCCCCCACAGGCCGGGGAGCGAGGCGCTCAGCCCCACGGAGGAGAGGGCGGGACAGAGATGCCCTGGGCCGCCTGCCATGGTTCTCTCTCACCTGGGGCCCGCCGGGGCGCCGGGCGACCAGCCGCCTCTGCCCAGTCGACTCACGCTGCACCCGCTGGGCCAGGGGAGCTGCGCCGCGCCGGAGCCGCTGGCTCTGGGGGACCGGAGCCCGACGGCGCCCATCTCCGCAAGCTGCGCGCACTACAGCCGGCACCCGAACGCAGCCCCATGGGCCCAGGGCACCGGGCCACCTGCCCCCAGAGGCCGCTTCTCCCCCGGGGCCGCAGTCACCGGGCTACCTGCCCCCGGAAGCCGCTTCTCCCCCGCGGCCCGGCCCACGGCCGCCTCGGCCCCAGTGGATCACAGCTGCACGCCGCCTCTCTCCGCCTGCTGGGCCACCTTCTCCAGGGACCAGAGCCTGACCCCGCCCTGGGACGGAGCCAGGCAGAGCTCCGGGCCGCCTGTGCCCAGAAGCTACGCGGTGTACTCCATGGACGGGGGAACCGGCCCGGATCCGCCCCTGCCCAAGACGTTCGCCGTGTCCTCCCTCGAGCGGACCCTGTTCTCTCACCTGGACCCCTCGGTGCAGCCGGGCCGTGGAGCCCCGTCCATCCCCATCAGCTGTGCCGTTTATTCCATGGATAGCGCATCGGCCAGCCCGGCCCCGCCTGCCGCCAGTCCCCCGCCGTTCCCGCCGCTGCTGCTGGCCGTGTACCCCGCCGGTCCGCACGGCCAAGCCCCGCGCCTGGAGCTGCTGGCGCAGATCGACCGCAGCTGCACGCCCCCGCTCTCCGCCAGCTGTGCCGTGTACACGCGGTACTCGCCGCTCGACCCCTCCACCGGGCAGCTTGCACCGAGCCCGTAGCCCGGGCCAGCGACCGGCCAGGCCCTTCGGCTCCTGTGGCCCGGCCATGGGGCACCCTGCAGCCTGCCCGCCTCCCCCCGCAGGCCCTTTCCTCCTGCATCAGCCCCCGAATAAAGCACAGGCTGCTCACACATGTGCTCCGGCCCATTGGTCACCCCCACACACCGGCTGGGCCCCCCGGCTGCCAAGCTCCCAGGGAACCAAAGAAAGGGGCAGCCCACGGAACAGCTGGGCACCCCACACTTCTACTCCCCACCCCCGCTCTCATGGGCCCGTCAGGCTGCCACAGGGGCAGGCCACCAGGTCCTGGGCCCGCCTTGGACATCGAGGCTGGGTGCACCGTGGGGCTAGAGCTGCGACCGCCCGCCCCTCAGGGCTACAGGGCCCTGCCTGTGGACCAGCCGGGGAGACCGTGGGCCTGAGCGCCCGGACTGTTTTGTATCCCAGCCCAAGGGGAAAGGCCCCCAAGTGAGCCAGGGCCCCGGGAATCACAGCAGTAATACAGAGCTGGCTCCCAACCCCCCCGCACATCCCAGAGTGCTCTGCGCCAGCACCAGGCAACTCCCGGCTCAGGAGCCAGGGAAGAGGGGCTGGCAAAGCACGGGAGAGAAAGTTCTGGCTGGAGGGGATCATGGGGAAGGGTGAGATCGGAGGGGCCAAGCACCGGGGTCCCTGCGATGTCCCTGCGCGGTTGCAAGCAGCCCCATAACCCACGGCGGACGGGAACTCACCCGGGTGGAGGTTTGCCCTGGCAGGGGCCTTCACTTCCCGCCATCGCTCAGCAGAGTGACTCCTGGTTAGACTCCGTCTAGTTCTGCAGCTCCTGGGTGTCCTGGGAACAGGCTGGACTAGCAGCAGGCCAGGCTGCCATTTCTAACAGAGGCAACTTGTTCAGGCTGGCCCGGCCGCCACAGGGTAGCACGAGCCACAACCGAGTTACACACGAAGGTCAGAGGCCTTGGTGTGGGGCTGCTCCGTCCCGGTGCCCCTTTCTAGGGCCCTTGTCTGGGAGAGACCCGGGTATGGTGCACTGCTCCTGCCGTAGACGTAGCTCAAGCCACTTCTGCAGGGGAGGCAGGAGAGAAAAATCCTCCCCCCCCACCTCCCCGAGGCACATGAATGGAGAATTTAAGATACAAGTTAAATCCCCCTAAACCTCTTAACGTAGCCAGTATTGGTTGCCCTGTTCATGCAGCGCATCCTTTCCTGGGTGTCTCCCACAGAAAAAGGCAAGGGGGGGAAGAGGGAGAAAACTGACTGCACATCGCTCGTGGCTCCTTCCACAGGGCACAACAGAACCGGCCACCAGCTTCCGCAAAAGCCGCCGCTGGGACCTTGGCTTGTTTCTTAATTGTGCAGTTGGGTGCCACGTTGGGGGTGATGGGCAGGAAGAGGAACGATGCTTTGCCAGGTAGCGAGCACGAAGCACCGGCCCCTCCAGCGGCCAGTTAAAACTCCCACGGGATGCATTCCCAACCCGTCCTCTCAGTGGCCTCGTGTTTCGGACGCGGTGCTGGGAGGTGGTGCAACGTGCAGCGCCCTTCCCAGCACTGCAGCAAATTGGCCCCCGCGCAGGAGCTGGCACTCGACGCACTAAGCCCCGGTTTCCGGTGTAGAAGAGGTTCATATGACAGCAGCCCGGGACTGTGAAATAAATACTTTAACGTTGGTCCTACTTTTCCTACTCTTGACCGTGCGTTTACATCACGGCCTCTCTTGCTTAGCCTGGCAAACCGTGATTTTGGGTCTAGGGTTTGTCGCTATGCCTAGCTCAGTGGCATCTGGATGCCCACAACTGTCGTCCTGCGCATGCTAGGGCCTGATCTCCAAGGGATCAGAAAGGAATTCTCCTCTCCTACTTTACTCCAGGAGGTGCAGTTGCCGAGTGGAGGGTTTACTTCATGCTCTTACACATCAGATCTTGGCCAAGATACCCGAAATGACGACCACCAAGAGGCAGTAGGGTAAAGCTCACGTCCCGCGAGTGCTTTGCTGGAGGTGAATAGGAGGGAAATGTGCCGTGAGGGAGGCGCACAGAGTAGAAATTCAACTGCTGTACATGTTCTCCCCGAACTGTAACCCACACCATCCACAGGGCAAACGAGATACAACACCCATCCTCTTCCTGTAGCAGGTAACCCAATGGAATATGAAATGACCGGACCCGTTATTTAGAGAATATTTTATTAGTTTCTGTAATCAAACCCATGTAAATAAGACCTTACATATTTAATACAGTGTAACCCCTGTACAAATGGAAAAAAAATTAAGTTGAACATTTCTAGACCAATATGGCTGTTAATTTCTGTACAATGCCAACTCACAGTACAAGTGGGATACTTTTTTCCAAAGTTGACATCACAGCTAAAGTTTCCAAAAATTCAAATCATATATATATTTATATAAAAAGATAACCAATAGCAATTCACTAGGCATCGATAGCAGCAACAGCCTTTCCAGCTTCTGCAGTTGTCTGAACAAAATTATACACATTAGACTTTCAGCATACTTCTTTCCAAAAAGTTAAACAAAAAACAGAAAAAACCAGCAAATTCTGTTATTGATGTGGTACCTGGTGCCTTTTATTAGCTTCTCAATCATTGTCTTGGAAGAAAACATTATTAAAAACAGCTCTGGTATGTCACAGTCACTACTACATATCATAAGCAGGTACAGGATATCTTACATTCACAGAAGTATCATACAGTACTGCCCTACAGCTAGATTACTAGAGGCTACAATTAAAAAGGCATTCTTTGACTTGATTCTACTGTCCAGAACACAGCTGGCAAGAAGGTGCCATGCGGCTCTGGCAGAAGAATGCACCTGTTTGGAGAAGGTTCGCTTTACTCAGTTTCTCTTTAATCTAGCAGCACAGTTCTAAGAGCTCACTGCTCGATACAGACACAAGCTGTTGAAAGACTACTGGCTTCACACAAGGAGAGCCAAACAGAGGTGTGACTATGAATGCAGGCTTTCAAATCCAAGGGCTGAGCAGCTGAGGGGTTGGGGGCATAGTTAGGAGCGGGTGTGCCAAGCAACACTTCATGGCTGTGATCTAAATACATCACCATGGCAAACAAAAGCAAGAGCAGTCAGACTGCCTTTGTAGGGCAACGTGACGCTGTGTGTCTGCTCCGGTTGATGCCGCGTGAAGGATAAGCTACTTTGGGTGACTTGCCAGTTACATTAATTACTGTTCCTTGATTGCAAACCAGCAGCATCTCAAGTCACCAACACCCCGCCCCCCCGGCACACCCCTTCCTCTGCGCAGCACTAGCTGTCTGCAGGCTGCGTGACCGGCAGCTTGTAAAAGATGAACCAGTAGCGGAGGAAGAGCAGAGAACGGAAACAAGAGTCTCGTGTCTTTCCAGGCACCTCTCCCCCGCTGTGCTGGCTCCTGTTGTGGGTCTGGAGGGCAAGCAGATGCACGTGCCAAGGGACGCACATACGCTCCACCGAAAGCAGACCTCATGCTGTGGTAGGGAAGCTGCAAGCCCAAAGCGGCTGAGAGCTTTATTGGACCTGCAGCTGTTTTGTCAATGCCAGTGGCATCTGTGTCCCTGCATGCTGTCTGGGGCCAGGAAGGGCCAGAGAAGACCACGGCGCTGCCCTTTGGGTTACACTACAGCCGCATCCCCCCCAGCGTCACAGCAACGCAGCCTTTACGATTTGGTTTCTTCCGTCTTGATTGCCTGAGGTTTGATTGGTCCAGTCCGAACAGGTTTGGGGGCGGCAGCAGGCACAGGGGCGGGCTTGTCCTCCGCTTTGTCCGGGCAGACCCCTGGCGCATCTGGCATGGCCTCAGAGGGTTTGCTTCCGCTGTCGTCCGCCTTGTGCACCTTGCCTCCGATGGCCTTGCTCTGCTGCTGCTGCTGCTCAGAGAAAAACCTGTGTGTGGACTGAAGGACCTCGGCTCTCTGCTTTGCCTTAAAAAGGGGGAAAAGCCATTTACTGCATGTTCAGAGAAGCCACCTCTCGCAAGGGTGACATTTCACAGATTCACGGCCACTCCCCAAGAGAGTCACATCCTGCCCCCAGGCGGCCTCCGAGCTCGGACACTCCTCCGCACGCCACACTGCTGCGCTAGGCCCAGCTCCCGCCCCTACTTCGAAACACCTTCCCCGTCTGGGTACGCATGGAAAGAGTTGGGGGACCTGGAACCCCCTGGCCGGTTGATCCATCCCCAAGTCCAAGAGCTGTTTTTACAAAATGGTTAGGAACCGTGAAAACAGCCAACGACTCCTTCAGTCCCGAGTGTCCAACATCCCACTAACTCGCAGGCCCTAAATGGACGGGCTCCCAGCTCCCCCCGGCCTTGTCAGACACTGCGATTCCCACCCCACTGCTCCAGCACTCTTGTGACTCCATCCATACGAACAAGGGCTGCCCAGCTGCCGCCTTTTTGCCGCCTGTTCTGAGCAGGGCTAAGGGAGAGAGTGAAAGCGTGGGCTTACACCTGACAGCCCTCCGTCACCAGAGCAAGAGCGGAGGGTTTCAGAAACAGTGCCCTGTCCGGATGCAAATTCTCCCCACCGCCGAAGCCATCCCTCTGCACCCGCACCAAGCACAGAGTGAAGGCACGTCTACGCTACGGAGATCGCCCCTCCGGAGGTCCATCTTCTAGGGGTGTAGTGTAGACGCCCCAACAGAGCCCTGAGGGCAGCCCCCGGCGTCTGGCACTCTCGCAGGTCGAGGAGTAAGGAAAGCCGACAGGAGCACTCCCTGTAGCGTAGACGCTGTGGTGGCCTGGCATAAGGTAAACTGAATCCAGCCATGCCTTCAGCTGACCTGCCTGCGCTAGCGCAGACCAGGCCTCACCGTACACAGAAGCTGTTGTCTGGCGTCTCTCAGGCTACACACACACTACAGCTTGAGTCCGGGGAAGTCGTGTTGTTCCAGGGTGAGAGCAAGCTGCCCCTCCTTCCCTGAGTGACATTAAATGACATCAGCCTTTTTGGACAGCAGCTCCTGCTAACAGCTCAATACAAGAGTGCGCTGCTATTGGCTTGCAGAGTCTGCACTAGCAGCATTACAGCTGCAAACACTGTAGGGACAGCTACAGCCTCTATTAGGGATGGAAAATCCCGTTCAATTGGTTAACCGGTAAAACCTGCGTACGGAGGCAGCAGCGGAAGGGAGGACCGCGTGTAACCGTTCACACACTCATCCCTATTCACTAGTCGATTAAGCCTCATTAGTCAGACATCTGGAACAGCTGTAGCCCTAACAGGTCATCTTACAGACTAAAAACTGCGACAGTTTCAGGGAAGGACAGGGAAAGGACCTTTCTTGGGCATGGTGCGTTCCTTCTACACCCAGACACTGGAAGTGGCAACACAAATAGCAACCGGAGAAGAGATCCTGACCACTAAGCGCTATCCAGCCTGGTAACTCGTTCTGCAGAGCACCGGCAGATGCGGAGAATGGACTGTAACCTTACGGTGTCCCCACACAGACTCCCTGGGCCATGGCATGTGCCTCGTTAGGAAGGGTCCCAAAGTGCGTATAGATATGTACACGATTCACATAATCCACTACTGAAATGCAGCCACCGCTTGGGCGGAAAATGCCATCCGTTTAAAGCGTTCAACAGGAAACGAGGAATAGTACAGCCAGTTAAAATGACAGGGAAAACAATTTGCCCAAAGTACCAGAACTGGAAGCTGGCCGGTACATTCGGGGCTCAGCTGGCCACGCTAAAAAAACCCCACAGGACATCTTGAGCGACCACGAATAGTCAGGACTTTGGTTTTACATCTGTCAAACAATGCAGCCTCCTGAAGCCAGGGCCTCAGCTTTCCCTCGAGAAGGGCAATTGTTTCATGGAGCCGTTGGTCACAAAACCTCCTGAGAACGGATGTCTGCGGCCGATCGCTAGCGCTGCAATTGTTTAAGCGGGAGCAGGGGCCAGTTGACGTCTGTGCTAGCACACCGGCAAGCCTGGACACAGCGGTTAAGGGTCCAGAGGCTTGGGAAGGCGCGGCACAGACACATTCCTGCCCTACGAGCTGTCAAGACTGAACTGGTGTTAACAGCACCGCTGTTCCAGATACTGACCTTTACGTCTTGTTCAGCCTTCATCGCAGCCTGGGCCTGAGGGCCTCTGACTCCAGGGAGGGATACACAAGGACCTCTGGCCACATGCGGTAAACGAGGGTGGCTCATAAGGCCTGTGGTCAGCTGAGGTGGCATCTGACTAGCCAGTGCCATTGGCGGCCTCTGAACAGGCGTTGGGAAGGTGTTAGTATGTGGGGCTCTTACCAATGGAGGGATCAGGTTAGGCTGAGAAAGGATCTAAGTGGGGGAAAAACAACAACAACAAAACAACCATTTAGCCATTAGAAAACTGCCAACCAGACATGTTGGCTTCTCCTTGTGGGTGGGGGGAGGGGGGAAACATGCCTGGTCCTCCATTAAACTAATGCCAAGAAAGGAGCGGGATTTTTCTCCCCCTGTTAAAACAGGTCATGCTTGGACACTAGGAAAAACATAAGCCCTAAAACGATGCTGCTGTGTTTCCAGCTGCACTAACCACTCAAAACGATAAAAAACGGGGGAAATATTGACAGGTTACAAAGCCTGAGGCATCACTCGTGAGCAAGTTTTCCCTGCAGTTGGCAGCATTTAGCGAATCCTTTCATGAAAAAAAATCAAAGACAGATCCCTAAGTCCAAAGACTCCAACCAAAGAGACAAATCCTCCAAAGTTCCTATCGTTTTCCCTTCTAGCGGCGCAACGACATCCAGTTACAATCTGGCACGGTTACCGTTTTTAGGTGCTCATTGGAATTTGAAAAACAAATCACACTTTGGATTAATTTAGAACTGCATCTCAGACAAACGACTTAGGAATCTGCTTACGTTTTTAGGATCTGAAATATGCACTGGGACCCTTCGGAGATACTGAGTCCCCCCCCATCCCTAGTCCGGACAGAAATGCGGTTGACTGGAGCTGTGTGGGGAAGCCTGAGGGCACCTTTTTGGACTGGAGTTACTCGACCTAGTGTTAAGTTCCTCACTTTTAAATGTGCAGACGTCCCTGAAAATTAACATGCGTGAAACACCAGAAAGCCTGCTTTAGCTAGCAAGATTAAAGACAAGTCTGCATTTAACGTGAATCCAGTTGATTGATAAAGCACATTCTTTATTGAATGCAGGGCTCAGACTTTTAACCCGTCAAAATAAAAACTGCCCACCACAGGTGAGCTAGAAAGTCACAGGATTAACGGAGATACAGAAAAGCAAATCTGCATTCAGGAAGCCATCAGTTTCCCACCTGGGGTGCAAATTGTGCAGGAAAAGGCTGTGTCATTCTCAAAGGGGGAGCTGCGGACTGAAACGGCTTCTGGTAGACAATGCTGTTCATTTTATTGGACTGGTTGTTAGGACTTGTAGAAGCGGCCCTTGAAAAGAAACCAACACCAATTAGAGTCAGGACATCGCTATCACCGCAAGGATGCTTTGTAATCTGCACATATTCCCTAACAACGATCAGTGGAAACCTCAAGGCAAATGAAGCCAGAACCGGAGCAAGTTAATATGACAATCCAGAGGGGAACTGGCAGAACCAGAATCACGGACCAGAACAAGCAAGAACCTGGAAGGAAAGGCAATGTTTTGGTCACAGATATTACCAGGTGCCCCCACCCCCCACCCTTTTCTCCATTCCAGTCCCATTGTATTCACACCCTGTTCTGCAAGGGCCTGTGACAGCACCAAGCACACCTGCAGCACAGAGGATACTCGGTTTCCATTTGGACCAGCTTTCTCTTGCTCATTCTTTTCTGAGACTTTTGTTTGCAGGCTGAAGTTCTCCAAATATGGGTGGCATTGTTAGCGTGTGAGGGGAACAGACACCCCCCCACACCCCACCACTGCATTTTTTCCTGTTAACATTCTGCCCAACAAAGCCACAACAGATGACGTTTGAAAGTTGATTTTCTGACAGTGACAGTCTTCACTGAGGAGAACTGGTCTAGACTAGGAAAGGAGGGTTGCTTTGCTTTAAACACAAGCAACATATTTTTTGTTGACTGCCACCTGAGCTCTGATGCGGACTGTACGCGCATGCATGGTTTGATTGGTTAAGTCAGTTTATTCTTACAATTTTTAACACGATGACTGCCTGGCTCTCGGCAGTCAGTCAGCGTTACAATACAACCTCTCTCAGCCCGAGTAACCGGAAACAAACAAAAACTCATTCCAGAACCAGAACCTCTTCCGGAAATGCAACCGAGAGGTACAGTCTGAGGTCATTGCAATTTTCTCCTTGTAAGTGAATGACACCCAAAATCCTACTAGTTCCGAATTTCCAAATTGGCACATACCAGAAATTTAGTATGAAATAAAGGAGGTCCTCTCCTATTGCTACTTCTGATGTAATCCCAATTCTTGTTGGGATTTTTTTTAAATTCAATTTCTCAGATGACCAATAAAAATCCCACAAAGTCTATGCCGTTTTCTAGCTTTTTCTACTCTATTAAAGGCGTAGTCCTCAAGTCACACTGCGAAGAGGTGATAAGTTGTGTACCAGCAACAGAAAATCCATTTTAAGTAAATTTCCTTGCAAAACTGGCAACTTTTTCCCCTACATGAGCCAAAGAAACTTGCCAGTCTATGTAGTAATTTCAGAATTTAAGAAGAGTTTGTAAATCCTGCATTGAAGCACAAGATTCCATCAGAGACGCTGTCACTAGGTTTACTTTCTAAGATGTGAAATTTTAAGGGATTTAAGTCATGCCCTAGGTAATAATTTTCAGTCCGGGCAAGAGAGGTCTAGACTTAAGTAGACTAGCTTCTCAAACCTATTCCAGTGCCACCCCAAAGACTTTTCTACCACTAGTCTGTCTTTGGACCATGAATCCTCCGCCATGAATTGCTTCTACAAGAACTGTTCAGTTCCATACACAAAAATCTTCACCATTCCAGGGTAGTACCTTTCTCGCATAACTGTTAGGAGACTGGATGACAACCTGTAGTGTTGCTTCTGCTGTACACAGATTACTGATGGCTATTTTGAAGTATTCATAGCCTTCCACCTCATCCCCATTAACAGGGCTCGCGGAACTGCGGCGTGCCCTGCTCGCCAGCTGCGCTGTCCGGCAATCGGCGCATGCGCCGATCGCCTGAACCCGGCTCTTCCGGGTTGCAATCTACTCGCCCGTGGCGAGTCCTGCCCATTAACATTCATCTCTATCAAAGAATTGACTGGCTGTGCTCGAGAGTGCGGCTAGTTACAGTACTTAATACAAGCGCTTAGGAGGGCCCATTACCGGAAAGGACTGGAGGTTGGAGTGGTGCTTCTACCAGTAACTGGAGGAGTTCCTGGTTTAATGTCAATGCCGCTTCCAAAGGCCTTTAGATCCATTTCTGACATCTGGAGAAAAATTAACAACAGCAGCAGTTTAGCGGCGTTATTTCCAAAAGGGCAAAGTTACAGTGCTTTGTAAATATCCTGTACTTGTGGTTTAAATCAATGCAGCATTGTAAGGACAACCACAAATGGCCCATTCTATCAATGCTGCTAATACAGTGGAAGAAAAGCTAGCTTTTTTGCAACCGAAGAACTTTCAAGCACGTGGCTGTTCTTTCCGGCATGCAACTACTCCTCATACCCGGGAAGGAGGTTACACATCCTGTGAAGCAACTGGAGTCTGAGATGTAGACTCCCCCTCAAAGCTCCAACTTTAGAGGCACGTGTCCCATGTGTGCTCGATTACAGAGTGCCATTTGCAGTGGCCACTCGGCCTGCACACGTGCTACTGATCGCCTGAAGTCCCACACCGAAGTTTTATCAGGCTGCCCGTGTGAAAGCAGAACGGGGAACGGAGCACCCGACACCGCTCAAACAACAACAGTGAGTAACTTCTCAGAGTAGCCTCCCTAGAAGGGCTCCACTGCAGCCCTGTGGGGAGGGGGAACGGTGCTTTGGAGCTGAGTCAATTACAGAGGAAAGACCTGGACTGCCAACGCTACATCAGATCTGCAGACATCACTTCAAGCAGCGTCTGGAGACGGTATATACTGGAAGACCACGTAGCCGCGCAGGTCTCAGCATCTGGGACACTATGTAGTACAACCACTGCTGTCAACTGTGATCTTGTTCAAGCCAGGTCTTCTCACCATGCGAACACATCACGCTCTGTCTCACGCGGAGAGGGCTGAGAAAGAACTGATGATGGTTTGCTCGTACAGCCCGAGGTAGCCTCCGTGCAAGTCGATCAATGGCGCATGAGCAGGCTGAGCGGACAGTGCGAGTGAAACTCTGCCACTGAAGGCACGAGGTGTACACGGGCACCTGAAATGGAGCACCCATAGGGACACTAGTCGAAGAACAATCGCTCCCTGGACGTCACTGCACAGGATTTCCAAGTCCGGAGTCTGTGTAGGAAAAAGGGATTCCTGACCTAGCCTGCGCTTTGGCCCTCAATCTGAGAGCATCGCATTCCGCCCACCTCGGCTGAGGTAGTGTGCTGACCGACAGACAGTACCCTAAGCATTAGTACTCTAGTCAGAGCTGTTCATACATGAAGAAAATCCATCAAATAAGCCAGCGATGGAGAGAAACCAGACAAGAATGTCCATGACCACACCTGAAAGTTGAACACACAGAAGTAATGTGTCACCCCAACAGCAGAATCCCCAAGCTTTGAGGGGAACAATGGATACATCCCAATCTTGTGAGATCTCTCCAACACAGCAGAATTACAAACAATTGTCCTTTAGAGATGCCATCAGCACCTTATTCCCATGGCTGGAGATGGAAAAGTCTGAGGCTTGACTAAACCCAGACAATCATTGTAGGCAGTATGCACAGAAAAACACCTGGTCTCCATCTAATAGCAGGGCTAGAAAGTTATTTCTGTAGCACAAACATGAGGGATAACACAGGAAAATAAACCTGTCACAGCTATTTCTAGTACATCTGTTGCCATGGTACCCAACAAGCGGGGACACGGCACCTCTCACCTTGACCATTATTTCTTTGTAAAAGGCATGCTCAGAGCGTACAGTAAGTCCTGGAGTAGAACAAACCCCACCTAGCAGCCAAGCCATCTCTTGCCTCGGACAGACTAGACAACACCCCTCGATAATTCTACCTCGTCAAGACCCCAAAGGCCTGGGGAAGGGCGCGTCGCTTAGGGGTGAGCAAGGCGCGCTGATTCCGAGAGATTCCGCCTCGACTCCACCCGACGTGACCTACCACTGCTGTCGGCGGCGGGGGGGGACACTGCCCAAGGCGCGCTGATTCCGAGAGATTCCGCCTCGACTCCACCCGACGTGACCTACCACTGCTGTCGGCGGCGGGGTTGAACACTGCATAATGCTCGGTGCTGAGTACAACGCCTCTGCATCTCCTGCAGGAGACACTTGCTTGCGAGGCCGGGCACAGAACTGTCTGAGCCAAAGATTATTTTTTTAAATGGCTATTTTTCTAGCTTGATAAAAAATAACCTCAGAAACACAAGCCATACTACTGCCTTTGAGCACAGCCTCAACCTGTGACCCCAAAGATGCCAACTGCCCCTTTCGTCACCCCGACGAGCCACGTCAACTACTTCACTGCCCATCACATCAGCAAGATCACCCAACTAACCCCTTATCCATGAACCAACCCACAATCCTCACCAAAAGCCCCAGCTGTCCCCTATACAACTGACTAAGCCTCCCACCTTCTCCCAGCAGCTTTGAACATGCCATGGTGTATTGTAGTACAAAAATGGGGGGCGCACTGCCTCCATGTGCACAGAATTGGGAGCTCTGCTACTAGAGCGACTGGCAGAGCTGCGTGGGGCCGTCCTTCTCTTCCGAGTCAGTGCTTGAAATACCAAACGCATGGGCTGTGCAGCAGCACTGCCATTCCCATCGTATGTTACCCATCCCCGTGGGGACTGGTCAAACTTACTCTTAGAACCTGACTGAAGTGCTCAGGGTCAGTGCGTCCAAGCGCTAGTGAGGGAAAGGCCCATAGCCCTCCGGGATAGACTGGAGGCTCCCTGAATTGGCCGGCTAGCTGAAAACATAAGGCTTTTCAAAAGTCCTCAGGTTCATGGCGGCCGGGAAGAGGGTTGGACACGCTGCATCCTGAGCTCCCAAGAGGCACTGCCAGCACCCTGAACCCTGTCCAAGTGAATGCTGTTCTCCCCTTCCTTCACTAGCATGTGATGAGTGACGTGCCAGGTCTCTCCCACTTGAGAACAGAGCCAGAGCCAACTTTTCTAATCTGGTCTCCATGAGATTTCCAGAGAACTCCCCCAGCACTACCAGTCTCTCTGCCATGCAGGTTCAGAAGCTGCAGGTCAGCACAGAGCTCCCCCTTCCTCTCTCAGAATGTATCCAAACGTGGTCATTTCTTCCACACGCTTGAAAGAGCTGTTCAGTCCTCATGATCCCAACAGTCAAACCATGAGTTAGCGTGCTGATCATCTGCTCTGTTACTAAAACCCCCTCTTCTCGCAGCTCCCATGTCTGGCCCTGTTATACAAAGGGCACCTACAACGTTACTCATCCAATCTGATCCTTTTAACGGCTCCTTCCTCCCAACCTCATCACTTTTGCCATCTCCTTCAAAGCCCTGGAGAACTCAACCTGACAACATATACGCTCAAATCTTGCCCCTGGGCCGTCTGATCTACCAATACCGCACAATGCTCCCTTTGCCCGTTTCTGCCCTGCTCCCTATGCATGGAGATGCTCTCGCCTGCCAAGCCAGCCTCATCTTATTAAAATCCCTTTCAGATGAACTACTCTCAAAATGCCACACGAAGGAAGTGAACGACAGCAGCAGCAACTGCCTCCGGCCCCCGACTGAGCTACCAATATACACACAGGGCGTGAAGTGGGCAACTCTTGTCCTAGTGCCACATTCCTTTCAATGGCTAACTAGCCTCCCTCTGTGTCACCCCACGCCGAAACCCATCAGCAGGACACGCACCTCGGATCTTACAGGAACCCGCCCACGCGGCTCAACCCTGCTGTGCAAACCAGCCTGTGTTAGCCAATGGACCATTTTCACTCTTGCGAGACAGGCCTGGCCCCCGATGTACCTTTCCAGTAGCAGCAATCATGCTGTGCGGAGCTCCAGCAGGGATCAGCCCCCTGAACGGCTGGCTCACTTGTGCAGGCCTGCTCATATTCTGAGCCTGAGCTTGCGGTGGGGCATGCTGCAGTGGAGGCTGCAGAGACTGGGGTAGAGCAATTAGGGGCTGCCCTGTGGATCCAAAATTGGGCAAAGAAAGCTGAGAGCCGGGCAAAGGTACAGTCACCTGGAGAGAATATGGAAATATCAGTAAGAGATACAAGCTGAATCCCTGAACTCCATCAAGATTGCTTTGGCATTACATTATATTGCACTTATTCAATGAAAGCATCACCCAGAGGGATGCAGGCAAAAACCACTCTCAACTTTTTAGGCAGAAATTCTGGAATTAGTTCTTCGTGCATTTGGATAATTTGAAATTTAGGAACAGGTTCCAAAGGCATCAAGTCACAGAGTGGCTCATAACAGTACCATCACGGCAAAAGCACTTCACAGTACAAAGGTAAATGAAACTAACGGATCGTTACAAGGTACTGTAGTTACATAAATGGCAATTTTCTGGCACTCCAAGCTGGCTGCTGGGTATCAGAGTGAGGCTTCACTTGCCAAAGGGGTCACAAAGGGTGAGTTACAGTTAAAACAGAAATGGCAGACTGTACTAGTCAGCCACCTAGGACACCTCTCATTATCAACAGGTCACTGTGACCAAATGTGAGCGCACTGCCTGATGACCGTGATCAGGACCTGAAAATTAGAGGATCAGTAGCTTAGTTTTTACATCTCCTCATCTGTTTGTATGGTGCACAATCATGAGACCCTCCCACGTCACATACCAAAAATGAAGACTGTATTCTCTACAATACAGTAAGTCAAGTCTAAATCAAGATTTACTGTAAGCAGCATAATGTGTTGGTTACCGCTAGCTATTTTGCCAGGGTCTACCCAAACTTTTGACCTCCAAAGTCACTGGATATTACTTTTTATGATACTTTTGAATCTACCAGATGGAGTTTTCACTGTTTCAATAGGACTTAAAAGTATTACTCAAGTCTGTAGAGGTCTTCCCTCATTCACATGGTTAACATTTGACAGACTTGTCATAAACAGACAGTTGTTTGCGTATGTTACAAATGTTAGAAATAGCATATAAAATCTAAACCTTATGTTTTCAAAATGTGAGCCACATCCGGGAAAGAATCGGGGTGCAGAGACTTACTGCAGGTGGATGAAATTCGGCAGTCAGCCCCCACCCCCTGCACTACATGGTACTTGATTTGCAAACATGCCACAGCACTTGCACAAGACAAAACCCCAACAAATGATTCTTAATAGAATAATCTTAAATTCCTTGGAAGTACTCTGGTATCACTTACGCCTTCAAAACTGGGTAGAGCTACAGGGCCCGAGGATAAGAATACATATACACAGATAGTGTCACAGGCTACTGCTTGCAAACAATCACATTTGCATGTTTGGGGTACACATACTGGTCCCCCTAGAAATGTGACCTCATACATTTCTGCTAATCAGGGAGGAGCCATATGCCACCACGAGCAAACAGGCTATTTTGTGTTTCTGCTTTCAAAGTGCTATAATTATTTGGCTCTCTGAAGGGTATTACCTCTGACTTGTCGCCATGAAGACAGGAGATGCTTGTACCACTTATGTGTTATTATGTAGAGTGCTGCTTCTACTGTCGCAAGTGAGAGTGACATAGGAACATTTCTGCCACACACACAATGCATGTTAATGACTCTGTGTCTATCATTTAATTTTCTCGTAACCTGTGTCACTAGTCTGCAAATTCTCAGCTCTAGGATCGTGACCACAATATCTGCATTTTCCCATTTTTAATTATGCCATGCCAGAAAAATAATAAAAAGAAAGGCAATTTGGGAAATTTACCATGCCATAGTTTACCTGCTGAAGAGCACTGGGAGACTGAGCTGTATTATAGAAATTGCTCTGGCCAGGCTGTTGGACTTGTCCGGAATATAGACTTGAAGCCTGGGTGAGAGTAGCCCTGGCCTAGCAAAGAAAGATTAACAAATTACACTGGGGTACTGTGACATTACTAACAAGAAGCAGGGTTACCAAATGTGACGAGCACAGCAACGTATTCCAAATTAAGTCAAGTCAATTCCAAAACTGCTACAGTGTAAGTCTGAAAATTAGAGAACATTTTAATTTGAGGCGAAGCCTCCGTTTCAGCTTAAAACAATCCCAACTCAGGACAGTTGTGTTGTACATTCTATAGGTATCTTCAAACGACTTGGCTTGTTTCAAGTGATTGGGAACGCTGGGGCACAAGACAGACTGGACAAAGGAACCATTAAGATTTCCCACAATCTTGAATCAATTCTACCTAGATATTCTAGAGATGGCAGATCAGAATACGGACAAAGCCAAATATTACAAAGATCTCCAGATTTCATGAATTTCAGTGTAAATACAATTCTCAGTTACCAGGTTTTTGGCATCTCCCCAACCCTTGCTGGAGAGAAGAAGCCAATACACTGTGTCCAATACAGTCCAATACACTGTGTTTATAGTATTCAGATATCAGAAAATGCTTCCTGTGTTCCTTACATACTAGTCCTATATGCTCCAACAAAGGCTACAGACGTCAATTCGAAAATCATTCTTACCTGGAGAAGATGAGTATCGATGAGCTGCGAGCCTCCTAGCCCTGAAGCTTGCCCAAGCTGATGTTCATACAAAATGGGAATAGGCTGAGTATTAGAAGTCTGCTGAAATGCAAGACTTGATTGTGCCTTTGCAAGTTCTTGGTGCTGCACTGTTGGGAAGTTGTGTAAGGCTGTGCCAGACAGAACGACTGGCGATGGCTGAGACAGACCACTTTGCATAAAAGCTTGCTGCGATCTATAAAGGGTGAAATTGTGCATTAGCCTTCCCTTTTCATTAGATACACAATATGAGAAAGTGCCTTTGGAAATATAAAAGACAAACAATCCTTTCATAACGAACAGACTTAAAATTGAGCACTTGATGTTCAAAATGATTCCACTGAAGACAGTGTGAACTGCTGGGAGATGGTTCTGAATGTATGAGAGTCACTGAATGTCATGGAGTAGAACTTTTTTTTCAAATATTTTAAATTCTTTAGTATTCAAATATACTAAGCTAGATTGACGAAATATTAAAATTAGTTGCACTTCCCCACGTGAAAGCTGTCTGCCTAATGATTCAGGACAAAGACTGAGAAGTAGAAGCAGAGGGAAACACGACAGCCTTTAGTAGCAGCTCCTGGGCTTGAACAAGTGTTTGGCTCTCTTCACCACAGATGACCAAGTACATTCATTTTTGATGCCATACTACTGACCACTTAAGTCACTGGGCACCGATGGGTATTTTTAACAACTTACTTTTGGCACTGTCTGAGACAGACGGATGGGAACACGGCCCTTTATACTGAAATTAGGATTTGTTTCCTCGCCCATTCTCGCCATACTGTTCATTTTGGGTTTTCCACATGAACCCAGCAAAGCACTACCTAAAAGCATCTCTCAGCCAACAAAGACTAGCAGCTGGTTTCTTAACCCCACTGGAAAAATTGGTGTTCGTTTTAGGCAAAGGGGGGAGCCTCACTAGCATGAATTTAGGATCTGCAGAATAGAAGTTCCACTCCTGTGCACATGGGACTCATGAAGTCTCAGTGAAGTGCTTAGGAGAGGCAGGAGAATCAGCTGTGGATTGATGGACACTGAACTTAGGTGTAATCTTTCAAAATATATTCTACTGTGTTTATTCCCAATAGCTGCCATCTCATGTTGACCACAAAAGCATCCAAGCTTTTGATGTAAGCAAGTATGTGATGGCGACTTCTGCCAACTTCCATGGACATTTTCAACTACATTTTGTCTGTCACAGATTTAGTGACATTTTGCATGTGTGATGGAGTAAAAAAAAGGGTGAGAAAAATCAAATGTATAACAAACGCTAGCTGGTAGGTTAACTAGGGAGAAACCACAGTATTTCTAACATGTAGCAGGTTTTATTCTACGTCACCTAATGGTCCCTAAGCTTTGTAGCTCATTTCAAATCTCTATTACTTGATCTCACTTCTGTAATGTACAAACTAACAAGCTTTTAAGAGTTGCTGTTAAGCTTCAATACTGGTCTGAAAAAGTGGAAGTGGTGAAAGAAAGGAATACGACAACGGGCTGATCTCGTGTTGCTTTTCCTTACTAACGCAGAACCATTTACCGGTAAGGTTGTAAGGAGGAGTTGAACAATTCTTGAGCTTGGGAAACAGCAGGTGCTGCCCCTAAACTCAGTTGGGCTTGATGTTGTCCTTGTAGAGGTGCATAGATGGGGATGGGAATTTGCTGAACGGAAGCAGGCTGCAACAACAAAAAAAAATTAAATAAATACCCAGGTGTAGAACAGTCACAAAAATCTTGGTAGATGAAAATTGCCTTGGCAAAACCCATAAGGGGAAAAATGCCCTGTACTTAACACGCAATGGGAAATTAAACTCAAAAGTAGTTGCACATCAAATACAAATGCTGTATAAGGAACACATGACAACTTTCTAAACGGAACTAAACTTTACAGAAGCGTTGACAGCTTTGCTCATTTGCATGCTGTCACAGTTCACATTTTGCTGAGGCAATCAACGCAGCTATTTAAAGTTAATTTCCATCTAAATATTTGTTATGATACAAACTTCCGACATCTGATTCTGATGACCACCAATAAAACAGAAAAACCCAACAACTGTGGTCAAAAAATTCAGAACCATCACAGATGTGCAGTTGCTATAATAGAGCAGCAAATAAGACAAATCAGCAAGCATAACCATGACAATGTCAGCTGAACAAACGATGTGCAGTATATTTATTAAATGTAGGTTACTCAGTTACTTCTCACAAGTGTTGCTTTAAAAAAAAATCTAGCAACCCTTGAACTCTATGGAATACACGCGTTCTTAATATCTGATCTTCATCCCTCATTCTGAGCAACTTTAGTCAGATAGTCCATCTGACTTGAGCACTACTGTATTTCTTTATAAACCAACACTGAGAGTCACTTGGACTCTCTCAAGCAGATGACGGAACTTTACAATGATAAGAGGGAAATCAACCATTGGCACAAATTACAAAAGGAGCTGGCTGAAGTCTTGAGGCTGGACCCTTTTCCAAATGGTATGTTAGGATTCACCCCAGGAAGAAACACCAAACTGAGCATTTCTGTGACGAACAAGTACTCTTGCACAAAGCAGTACATGTTGGAGAATATGAGCTTCTACTGGAATACTTCTCTCTCTCTCTTTCCCTTTACCTCCTACAACTATCAGGTCCGCTCATGTTACAACAGCTTTCCAATGAGGGTTCAGTGGGATGAATCCCCAAATACCTGTGACAGTCCGGGTTGGAAACCTTGCTGCTGAGCCAGGGACGGTGGAGCCAGACGGGCATGCTGAGTGCTGAATAGGTGGCTTGTGTCCATGTAGAAAGCTGGGATCTGAGCTGCAGGACCTCAGGAAAATATGAAAGTTAGTGTCTGAACGCAAAACATTTTCCTTCTGGGCAGATTTCCACGTCGTGCTGGAACTGCAGCCAGAGAAGAAGTTTTCTCTTTCATATATACACACTGGTTAGGTTAACTATTTGCCTGTTAGCACTGGGCGAGGAAAGGAGGGGAGAGAACAGATTTTCAGGGAGCTAGCGAACAGGAGAAGTTTGAGAGGGAATTCTCCAGGTGAAGGAGGAGCAACTGCATGACCCCTGGAGTGAGTTGGCTGTGTTTGCTCGCTTGAAGTTTATCATGGGGTCCATTTAGAAGCTGTGTGCTGAGTCTAATGGCCTTCTAGGCAAGGCTGAAAGCTTCCCAAGAAGGCTCTAGCCATCCTTGGATCTTGAATCCCTTGACGGGGGGCAGAACCAGCTCAGGGAAAACAGGGATTAAAAAGCTCTTAAGAGAGACTGGAGCAGCTAGCGAACCAGAGCAGCAAACAGAAGTTTAGAGGGGGAACATAAGCAGATACCCCTTATAAACAGTCTCTAAACTTGGGCCAAGAAAGCCTGCTCCCCCGCAGTAAAAATCCCAAACCACAAAAAGCCACCCAGCAAGAGCACAAGGAATGCAGGCAGAAGTCCAGCATCAGAGGGGACTATCCAGTATTTTGTCCTGAAAGCAGCAGGTGGCAGTGGCATGCATTTGGTATAGGCAGCTCCCAGGCTCTTGAAACCATTGGCTGAACTGAAGGCGCTTGAGGGAGACAGACGTACATAGATGAGACTTTCTGGGACCACTCCCAGTCTGGTAGTTTCTGGGCTGTTGGAGGGAAAGTCTCAAGGAGGGGAACAGAGAAATAGAGCAGAGGGAAATGATCCCATAGTTGGGATCCTTCCACACTGAGGACACCTCTCTAGAGGAGGGGACACCTTTTAAAGAAGAAAGGTAACAGAAAAGGGGGGCTGGACTGTTAGAAATATCGATAGTTGGGCTTCTGATGGGAGAGCTACGCGGCAAATGGCGTGCTGGGGGCGAATTTGCAGATCTCTACGCACATCTAGGTCCGATGCATGTGCAGTGCGGGGAAGGAGCTAGGACAGGAGGGTGTGCCTCCACGAGAACAGAACCAGACTGCTGTCAGGGAAAAGGAAAGATTGCAGAGGATTTTCTGAACTATGGGCTGAGGGAAAGTTGACAGCTACAAAGGAAAACAGGATTCAGACAGATACATCCCTCAGAGGAGGGTTTATTAAAAGGGAAAGTCATACTACTCGGGCAGTCGTCGTGCCGTGGGGATGTGTTACATAGACACATGCCCCTGAAATACTGCCTGCCTTCCGAATTCACACGGCTGGGACTCACTTGGGCAATGCTGATCGCTAACCAGGCTCCTGAACCACACGGGTGCGAGTATCCCCGAGGTTGGATGTCCCTCTCCGGCATCGCGGCCTGCTTCCGCAACGGAAAGCAGATTGGACCCTGAGCTCTTAGGGGCCATCCTGGTACTTGTCTGTACAGCGTCTAACCCAGGTTCAGGGTCAGAGTGGACTGGAGTTCCCAGGAATCAGACACATAACCCACTAGAACTGGAAGGGACCTCGAGAGGTCATCGAGTCCAGTCCCCTGCCCTCACGGCAGGACCAAGCACCATCTAGACCATCCCTGATAGCGTTCTGTCTAACCTGCTCTTAAATATCTCCAGTGATGGCGATTCCACAACCTCCCCGGGCAATTTATTCCAGTGTTTCACCACCCTGACAGTTAGGAAGTGTTTCCTAATGTCCAACCTAAACCTCCCTTGCTGCAATTTAAGCCTATTGCTTCTTGTCCTATCATCACACATTAAGAAGAAACATTTTTTCCCTCATCCTTGTAACACCCTTTAAGGTACCTGAAAGCTGCTATCACGTCCCCCCTCAGTCTGCTCTTTTCCATGCACACTATGTAATAACTTACAAGTTTATCATCAGCTTCAGAGATAACAATCCTAGTACAACTCATATGCAGTTATTTAAAAGTTCTACCAACTCGTCTCAGTGAAAGCACACACAGAATAGGCAGCACATTTCCCTCCCAAGCTCACAAACACTATTACCTGCTGCAGACTGGGACACATAGACCTGCGGACTCTGCTGCTGCTGGGCAATGAGAGACGGCATGCAGCTTAGCTGGGAGAAGTGACTGGCAGAAGCGAGGCTGTTTGTCTGCAACTGCTGTGGTTTCACTTTACAGATATTAGGAGGATCGGAGGTGGTTGTAGACTTTGTACTCAGGGAAGAGGTAGTGTATGTTCCGGCTCCTGGATTGGAAAAAACATACCAGAAATGCTTTCAAATGATCATTCACAAACTTATCTTTTAGTAGGTCTGACAAAATGTTGGAGGCATCGACTACCATGGGCAAGGGCGAATAGCAAATTAAAAACAAATACAATATATACAGAATTCCTTAAAACAGGACTGCACTTTCTCTTCCAGTTGTCTAGAGAATGTCAGGTCCTCAAAGAAAGACATTTTTCTTCAATCCTATCAGCTGGGATTATAGCACAGATTCCTTTAAATGGCCAAATGTGCAACGATTGAATTGGACATAAAGTTGTTTACCACAGTGGGAGTCAAATTTCCCCACTCCTGTTTGTGCATAGCAGTAGTGAAAGTCTTGTGGGGCACACTATTATGTATGTTTGTACAGCGCCTACCACAAAGAGGCCTCAGTCAGCCCTACTGAGGTAATATGAAACAAAAACTGGAAATCTTCAGACAACTGTGGGAACTGAGTAGTTGCCGGTTCCCCATGGCCAGCCGCATGAAGACAAGGTGGAAAAGAGCAGCTCTATTCTACACAAAGATTTCTGTGCAGCCAGCTGAAGGTGGTGGGTAGAAGAAGCTTCCTAAACTGTATCTTCCAGATCCACCCTACTGAAAAAGGGAGAGAAGCAAAACTCCTCTCCCCAGCTGGCTATGCAGTAAAATCATAGGGGAAATTTCAGCTCTTCCAACTGCAGTAAGATGAGTTACTGAAGCGTATGCCCACATATCACAGGCCTGGGCACAGTGGTCATGACTTTGCTAATATAAAGCAGAGTGAAACCGTGAGCAAGAGGCAGGCCCTGCTCACAGAATCTGGCACGAACTGGGTTAATGGTGTAAAACACTAACTTGTCCTAGGCTCAGGCTGGAAACAATTCAGAAGGGTCACAACAGAACACCTCGTGAAGAAACATTGTGTGAAGAAACACTGTGGTACCAACACACTCCTCACAAGAACAGACATACCAACCCAGGTGCAGGACAGGGCCTAAAATGACAACACGACAGATAGCCAAACCCCTATGTGCGGTATCTAAGTAACACCAGAGGGTGTGCAGAGCCAGTACAACATACAGAGAGGACATGCAGGCAACTGAGCGGTTTGTCACTGGACAGAAGAGGATACCTGTCATGACATCACAGCGGTGACATCTGACCCACGCAAATAAGAGGGTTTTGGTAAACTGGGGCTCGCACCCAACTTTTACACCCTTAAATAAGAACTCCATGCATTCCCAAATCCCAAAGAGTGAAGAGCTGACACGATTAAAAGGCAAAACCAGCTGGAGAATGGGGAGGGGAGTGCAGTACACAACACGCAATGCAAAGGCGGATACCTGACAACGAGGTTGTAGGTGTAACCGAGGCCACAGGAATAGGAGGCATTGATGCACTTGAGAAAGAGCTGTAAGTGGCACTGCTTGGTCCGCTGCTGCTGCTGCTGCTTCCACTGGTGCCTCCGGCTATGGGAGATGCTGTTGAGGTTATCGGTGAGCCCTTCTCCCCCATGCCTGGAGAATTCTCCCAGGCTTTGCGGGCAGACTCCATCTGTTCAGGAACAAGAGAAAGGGTTTTCTTTTTGAGACACACAGGCAGGTATTGAGCACATTTTAGTGTTGTGGTTAGTCCTTCAGTTAACAATTCATTGTAGTTAAAAGGGAGTGCAGGCTACCTGGGAGCCTCCTGGCTTCATGTTGGCTCGCCATGATTGCACAATACTAAGTGGTCATGCAAAAAGCTTATGGCCCTAAGTGGGAGCTTCCAATTAGCTTGAATTGTCTAATCAACCATTTTTACTGCCAGAACCCAAGATCAAGTTTGCTCACACTGACTTCGGCTTTTTCCTCCCATGTGGGGAGTGGAATGTTTCACGCTTGCTTAAGTTAGCACAAAATTGGTTCTAAAATAAAGCCATTCACTCTAAAATTAAATGGTCTAATGCCACTGGTGCAAAAAGGGAGGGAAGTTTTTCTGAGATAAAAATGTCAACCACAGAAGCATGAATTTCTATCTTCAGTATGATCTGTGACCATTTAAGGGAGTACAGCAATTAATCTGTCAGAGGTAAATCTGAACACAATGTCCATTTTATTTTGTAGTTTTAACACACCACAATGAACACCACCACACAATTAGTGTGCTTATTTAGCTACGTATTTTAAAACTTTCAATAAAATAAAATAATTTGGGGCTAAAACTGTGCCAAACCTATGCACAGGTTTTTCCTCATGTTAAAGAAAAAAATAAATACCAAAGGAGGGAAAAAGTCAAACCTTACGTTCTGTAATCACAGATGTAACAGTGCCTAGCACAAATATAGTCTGGGTCAAGCAGGAGTTGGAAGAGTTTAAAAAAAATGTGTGGTTTTAAACTGTTCAACAAACTTATCTAAACCACCTAGTGGTTGACTGGAACCGAGTCAACCCTGCCTCCCCCAAGATTTTAACAGAAAACCTTTGAACACCAGGCAAGAATTCGAGGGAAAGCATCAAGGGACTATGCTTAAGTGACAAAGGGAAGGACACTTGCTATAAATGTTCAAATTAGACAAGCCACAAACACATTTTAATGATGGTCCATGGAGTTCTATGACACACAGTGGCCCATGTATTTAATGTGAGGTTTAGCCACTGGAGACTAAGGGTTCCATACTGCAATTCATCTAACAAATTACACATTCTTGAGGGCAGGAGCTATTTTCGTTTGGTGCCTTGTCCAGAGCCAAGCACATTTTCAGCATTACAGAAGGAAGTCTGATCAGAACGGCCTAGTCACTTGAACTGACATGGAGCACTTCGGATTGGACAAAACAGTCCGATGACCGCCTTGCCCATTAAAATGAAGCATGGCGGGCGGCAATGTCGTCATCTTATGTAAATGGGCAAACTGCTCCGCATCTCTCTAAATTGAGCTATTTGATTTGCCCACGCATCATGATACAAATCATATTGGCTTTTCTATTTAATTGCCATTGTCGCAGTATAAAAGGGTAACTGACAGGAGGAACTGCTTCAGGAGTCCTCCCCCCAAGATTTTTTTCTATGAAACACTTGATAGGAAATTTGTGACTTGACTGTTTCCCTTTTTGGAACCCCTCCCACCAACACATACACTTAGGCTGAGCCCTTTCTAATAACTAGACCAGACGTGGGACAGGTTTGTTCACACACCTTCCACCCACATAACAGGTGAGCGGGGGCAGCCCTAGACTAGCTGCCAGCAACTGGCGCCCTAGGCGAACCATGCAATCGGCGCCCCCACCTCCAAACCCCTTAATGCTATTGCGCCACCATTTGGCATCCCATTTAACTTGGCACCCTGGGCGGCCGCCTATATGGATGGGCCACCCCTACAGGTGAGTATTTCCCAAAGGGGTAGGGAAATTGTATTGTTTATAGTAGATTGAACTCCTTGAGGCATCTGCTCAATAGCAGAAGCTGAAGTCTCCATCCTGCATTTTGTCTCATTCACTTATTTGCTGTCTGGGTCCAGATTTGCCCAGACTCCTCCTGACCCTTCCTCTAACTATGAAGAACGTGCAGAGTCCCGAGCACCGTCCTCCTTTAGTCTGCGTCTCCCCAGCTACAGGATTAGGGCTCTTTCAGAATACAGAACTTCTTATTCGCAACTCACAGATGAAGAAGGGGAGTGAAAGAGCCTCTAATTCTAGGGAGTAGCCAGGCTGCACGTCTCCCACATACAAAATGTTTCAAACACGTTTGGGAGAAATGGAGAAGGAGAAAGAGCACCCGGAATGATTTTACCTTCCGTGGTTTGGGTTGTTGAGGTTCTCTTTCATTCTGGGGAGAGGGGCTGTGCCGGATGGGAGAAGACAATGGCTAACCCCAGATGCCTCTCACCCAATTTCATGTGGGCCTTAGCTTACTTAAGCGGTCTAGGGCTCCAGCGTTCATAAGTCAATAAAAGATTGCAGAGGAAACAAAAGAAAACTTCCTTAAGATACATTTTTTTTCCTGTGAGGAAGGCCAGAATACCCAGAGACAGATTCCTTGCCAAATGTTTTTCTTAGCTGCTTAGAATCTTTAGATGAGACCCTGGAATTTAGACATATGATGGGCAGAGACATTTAAAAGGATTGTGGACTTCCCCTGCCAAAGAGCCCTTGATCAGCAAAGGCCTGGCTAAGACCCAATAGGTCTGATCTGTCCAAGCAAAGTTGACTCCAGGGAAGTCTTGGTTGATGTGATGGAAGCCAAGATCCCAATAAGCCTTCCACTTCCATTTTCTTTCCCTGGCAGAAAGAGGCCCAGAGAAAGGAGCAATTATGGCAGAATTCCCCCTCTTTGTCTTTTAAGAGGATATCCTTGCAGATGGAATGGTATGATGGGGGATGGAGGAACAAGAAAGGAGATTGGAAGGTTATTCCATTCCAGAAGAAAGCCTGGAAACTCTTGTTCCTCCTCCAAGGAGGAGAGTTGAAAGATAACGCTTGTCAAAGCAGCATTTAAAAGCAACGTTTACCTTCCATTGGTTGGGAGATCAGCAGTAATGTTCTGTTTGGGCTACCAGAGACTCTGGCATGGTTAAGCCCTGCAGTGCCTTGAAAAGGTGTGGTCTGCATGTGTTATGTGCAGGAAGAGATGCGAAGTCTGAAAGCTTAAGGGCAGGTTAGCAAAAAAATGCTTCCCAACATCCTGCAGTCTCAGAGCACTGCAGCACAGATTATAGAAGAATTCCTCCTCATACCTACTACGGAGACAGCCATCATCTCATGAGCTTATTAGGACACTCGTATCATCCCGGTCTAGAGGTACCGACACCAAGTTACAAGACTAGATAGTATACTTATAAGGAACTCAACACTCAGCAGGCTAATGCTTAGAAGGTGTGAAACGGTCAAGCCATAGTGATTTTCCTCTCTGTATCAAGTGTTCAGTGAATGGACTACTTATTTCTAGACATTGTTGTATTGAGTTTGACATGTAAATAAAACAATTTTAAAAGCGCCTCCAGATACCAGAAAGTTAATACATCAGTATTAATTCATTATTTTTCAAATGTTAGCAGGTTAGCAGAGTTTCCCTTGCTAAATTACTCTTCCCTTTTCATCCCCTCCCAACCTTACTCATCTTTTTCTTCTTTCCATTAACTTTTTTTCTGGCTAAGATGCTTTAAACATATGCAAACAAAAAGGAGGAGGAAATGTTAATGAAGAATAATTATCAGTAACTACGTCTGCATCACTGGGTTGTTATATTGTAATTATATAAATTATGAAAACTAGTAAGAATCTTTCTTCTATCACAAACCATTTCAGAGAGAAATTCTCACTGGGAGTTGCATTTAATTTCTTGAAAGCCAGTAACTATGCATCCAACCACGTTTCCAAAGACTTCTAGTTTGGACAATACTTTGCTCACTAACTCAGGATATAAAAGCACCATCACATGGCTCATCAAGGGCACTGAAAGGACAGAGACTCTCTTAAAAAGGCTATAGCCAAAGGACAGAGACCAGCTTAATAATGTTAGTGAGTTACAGAGCGCACAATCCAAACCCTCCCAACATCAAAACTGCATACATGCCATAGACAAAATGCTCCCAACATACCCTTGCTCCACAATGCACAACATAAAGGAGCATGAAATGCCTGCTCCCATAAGTATAACAAAAAGTTTTTGTACTAGTTTATAGGAGACAATAGCTGCTGATATAAATTAACTTACTGCCAACCTACATGATTTACTACTCCAATCATCCAATTGTAGAAGTCACACTTTACTAATCAAAAGGAAAGAGCTGAGAAATTCAAGTACTATTTGCTGAAGCCAATGCACTACTCTCTTTTTAACAACCTGTGCAACCATGAAGCTGTAGCCAAACTTGTTTTAAACAGACCTATCCACTGATGTATCAAAATACAATGGGTTTCTGTCAGGAGTAGCATGCCATGATATTTATCCACCTACATGTGCCTCCCTAGCATTTACACTCTGGGTAGTGGAAGCCAAGATCGATGCCAAGTGTTAAAGCAAAAGGGGTTAAAGAGATTTATAACTGAATGCACCCACTTTCATACACCCTTTTGTTTCAGCCATCTGTTGATATGCAAAAGCAGTTCAGAGAGGAAACAAAGGAAGGCTCTAAAAAAGGTTCACCAGCAAGTTCTCCATTATCTTTTTCCCTTGCATGCAAGAAAACGACCCTTAGAGGGACGTGGTACATACCTTGAGGGTGAGGTCCACGGTAGCGGGAGAAACTGGAGTTAGGCTGGAGCTCTGTTGTAGAGTCTCCCTCCTAGGGAGGGGAAGGGTGTGGGGCAAGGGCACCTGAAAGGCAGGCAACACACATCACATTCTAACTAAGTCTACCACGAGAGCCCCTTACGAGCAAATGCTCAAGCGGTGCTAATATATTAAATGTTCCTTGAGGCTTGAGCTTTCAGGAGGGATGGTTTGGCAAAGCAGGATGAAAATTTGGTGGGGGGAAAGGTCGTTTAGTATGGTTCATACAATACTGGTCATCGCAGTGACTGCAGACTTGCTTGTCTGTGCACCAGTGTCTTCTACAGAGTCGAGTGTCCTTTTAGCATTTTTGGGATTTAGCCCAAAATGTATTTAATTCAACAGGGTACAAAATTCTTCCCAATTCAAGTTGGCCCTCTAGTAGGATTCAAGCTTTGAGATGAAATTTCTACAAAAAAAATGGAAACTGTTTTCTTCAAAGTCACAGGACCAAAGAAATAAGCAAAATTATACCTGGTAACTAACACTTGCGTATGGCTATTTCTAAATTCCTAGCTATCTTTCAATGGGACTCTCAAACAAAGGCGAAGTTTAGGAGAAAACACAAATTTGACAAAATTGTTGCAAAAGAAAAAGCTAATGATGGATTTGCTCAAGATCCTAAATACAAGATCTGAGGAAGTGTTGCTATAATCTTTGGTACAGCAATAGTCCTTATTCCTTCTTTCTATCATTAACGCTATAGTTTAGGCACAGAGCACATGCAACTGCCATAGAATGAGATTAATCTCAAAATACATGTACTTGACACTTTGAAACTAGACAAAAGCACAAATCTGCTATTGCTGGTTCTTATGTGGGAATCCAAATCTACCAGACAAGGGAATACACCAAAATCAGCAGGACCAAGGAATTACAAGTCTCATACTTTGCCTCTTATTCAAGTCTGACACTAACAAAAAGCACAAAAAAGTCACAGCACTATGAAGGGAAGAGGTGTGCAGGAATAGCTACAAACAACATTGCCACAAAAATGCATTACGGATGTTGCTATTGCTACGTCAATTTAAAAGGCTTTTATTTTAAATGGCAAGTTCTCTTGAGGGGTGAAGGAAGAGGATCCATCATGATTCCCCATAAATCCGGTCAACTCTGAATTAATTATGTTTACATTGCTCAAAATAGCAACATCACAAGATCCAGGTTCCTACCCTGACAGACCCACCAAGTTCAAGACACTTTTGAAGTCCCAATGAGTCACATACCAGTTGGTACTCGTTCTCACGACATAAGAAAAACTAATACAGACAAGCAAGCCCACCAAGCCAGGACGGCTAGCTCTGTGGAGAGCGCAAGCACATGTTCTTCAACAAGCATGACGACTGAATTCTGCTCTCCACCAGAACACTCCACTCAACTGTCTCCCTTGCGTACCACAGCCGCAGTTAATTTCAGGACAGATCAGAACAACCCTGGTTTTTCAAGTCTTTCTGGGGACTTTCCTAAGCCTCTCAGACTTTTCTCTTCACTACTAGTACAGGCTTCTTCTTTCCCTTAGTCTCACAAATGTAAAGGAGGAGAACTCTGTAATGCCTGCTATCTGGAAGAGTCTTCCTGAATTTTGACCCCATCTCTTTTCAAGCAATCTCTAAACATCATTCCCCTATGTAGGCTTTCAAAGTTTTCTTTGTTTAAAAGCAAGAGACACCATGTAACATGCACAGAACTCAGACAGATACTAATCAAACTGAAGCTGTTTTTGTTTCTTACAGTGGAATTACACAATAGCCATCTGGTTAACATAATGGAAACCTTACTAATCGCTAACTGAAAGGAACATGGCGTGCTTTTGAAAAGGAAGACAAAAGTATAAATACATTGTCCCTGTCCTCAGTCAGAGATTCACTACAATAGACTTACATTAGTCACCAAAGTCTCCTCCATTTTTGTACTGCTAGCAGCCACAGTGTTAGGATGAGAAGAAGGTGTAGTGTAGTCTGTCACAGACTCCTGTGAAGAAAAATAAGTCCATTAAAATGAACCCCCTATCTAAACTAGGTTTTCTATTCTCAGGCTTAGTCTTTGCAGACAGAGGGCTGGCTATCTTTTACATAGAAGCAGTTCACCAAGCAGTACGATGACAATTTCACCACACTTATTAATTATTGCCTCTGAAGGCATGTCCAGCAATTCTCAGTGCTGGTTGCTTTGCACTAGAAGAATTTGTGGAAGATTTCAGTTTTGTCAGAGGCAACATAACCCAGGAAATCCTTGCCTTTAAACAACGTAAGTGGTCCAGATGATAACTTCCAAAGCCAGAACTTCTAGAAGTTAAATACAACGTAATGTTTTTTAATATTAGGCACATGGCTATAAAAACACAGATGAAAATTTAAAGGGCCAAGACGTTTCTTGCTCTGAAAAGATGAACAGGTGGAGAAATCCAGGCGCAAATCTCTCTGGTGGCAAGTGAAGGAAATTGATCTGGAAAGGGCAAGATCTTAGCAAGTTTTAAAAAGGTAATGAAGTTAACTCAAAGCAAAACAAAGAATTTTTACCAGCTCATCACAGGATGGAAGCTTTTCACACTAGTTCTTGAAGACATTTAGGTTTCCCTGCACTAAGATCCAAGGTTTACTTTTCACTGAACCAGCTGCTGAGAGCAATTACCAGGATACTGCACACCTGTTCCCCTTTGTTCAAGAGAGTGATTGTCCTCAATCCTCATTAGGCGATGATTTCCCACAGGGACATTTTCAGGAAACAAGGTAGATGTATTGCTTGATACCGAGCTGAAATTCCTGCTCTGTGTTCTGTACAGCTATTGGCTTCCAATGAGATCTCTCCATTGAGTCAGTATCCTGTCACCACTCCCTGCTAGGGCTGGTGAAGAGAAAGAACTTGAACAAGATCGTTAAGTTCTTGTCCTCCTCTGGTTGTCAAAGTACATGGACTACATACTTCTGACCACACTCTGCCAAACATTCTCTCAAGACTCAGTCACTGGAGTGGAACCTGATCCAAGATCTCGTCTCCCCTACCCTTGCATACCGATGCCAGTCTGAACAAAGTGATGCTCTAGTAGGCACTGTGAAGTTAGATGCTTTAGATGGCTACACCTTTTAGCAGCTTTTTTGGTGTAAGAGCCTGCAACAGGCTTCTCATCTTCACTCTCACGAAGCTGACTATCGTTTAGGACAAGACTGAAAAGAGTTCTCTCATAGAATTTCACTCGCAGTGCCGCTGTATTTGCCACTTACTAAGTTACAGGTCTTTATGAAGATATGAGGCCTGATTCTTCAAATTATGCCTACCTATGAAAACTGGTGTATACCTGCAGCATGTCTCAAGGCTGTGACAGTCACTACCAAGATACGGATTAAATCCCCAAGAAGCCATCAGCACATCCAAAGGAAGTGTGTCTTGATAGGATGCTCTTAATTCAGGCAAAGACCTAAGGAAGAATTGGGTTGTGCCCACGAAAGCTCATGACACTACAGAAATATTGTTGATAGTCTCTAAGGTGCCACAGGACCACTCATTTTCATCAGGAATGGCGTGACTCAGAACGTGAAGGAACCAACGAATGTCAATCTGCCAGGGAGAGGGCAGACAGAACTGACAGCAGAAGCGTCACACGTAAACTTCTTTTTTGTGAAACTGTGGAGACCTTTAAAATCTAGGATTTCTAACCAACCATTCTCTAGAACTATAAATAAAATGGTACCTGTGCTTGAATCTGACAATCAACTAGATTTAAATAAGCCAATGAAAGATAAGTGGTGGATAGCCTGCAGGATGTTAATTTGAAAATCCTTCAACAGGGAAGAAAGGAAGGACTAGGATTCATTATTTCTTAATGAACCGTACTAAATCTCTTGAAGAGGAAATGTTTAACATCCACCTGTCTGTGGCAGTCTCCTAGCAAAACAGGAACGCTATCAGCTCTACATTAAAGTGTATCTGTAGTGATGAGTGAACATCAGAAGCTGTTACACGGTAGATTTGACTGTAGTGCAGTCTGGGGTGGCAGGTCCTGAGTTTCTCTTAGTTTTATGTAGTGCAGCATGGAAATGTCCCCGCATTAGGCAAGACTGGCAACTACATTAAAGAACAAGGATTTAGCACCCCCCCCCCAAAAGTAGTTTATTGCCTATGTGACATCTTTGTGGCTAGTAAAATGAGCTGTCCTAAGATTTCTCAGTACAGCTCATTAGTAAGCTATATTGTGTACGGAACACTCACACACAGGATATATAGGCCTGCAACAAAGTTATGGAGATTTCCAAGCTCCTCTTCACTAACATCTTACTATAGTTAGCTCCCTGAAGGGAAACATCGTATAACAAGAGTGACTCTCTGAATAACTATAGAACTGCCTCCTCCGCCCACCACAATGAAGGCATCTAATATAAGGCGCCTTTCTGGATTTTGTAGATCTATCCATATATATCTATTGCCCCATTACTGTAATATCCAAGTGTCTTACAAATTAGTTCATCCTCGGCCCTCCTGTCAAGTACCATCCTCAATGTACAGATGGGAAACTAAGCCCCAGAGATTAGGTGACTTACTCAAGATCACAGAAAGTACATGACTGAGCTGGGAACTGAACCCCAATATTTGCTTTAATCTCCAGACGCATTCCACAAATTGACTGTGTAGCAACACCCCTCTTCTTGTTGGGAGGAATTTTTTTAAACTGAACTAGAAATTTAAGGTTGTAAAGTATGAGAGGCAAAGTATTTTATTAGACCAATTTGTGGTGGTGAAAAAGACAAGCTTTCAAGACGCACAGCACTCTTCAGGTCTGTGGAAGGTACCCAGAGTCACAGCTAAACCAAGTGGAACAGATTGTTTAGCATAAGTAACTAACATATTGAGAGAATTTATGGTGAAATGGTCAGCAGACACCTCTGCAGTCATAAAACAAAAAGTGAAGATTACGGGCTACGGATTACTGTAATGAGCCATAAATCCAGTATCCTTTATTAAAAGTATGTTCTTGAGTGTCTAGTGAAGTTATGAATTTAAGTTCCAGGCTTGTCTTTTGAAGGTGGCATACAGGTCCCTTTTGGGGAGAACAGATGGAGTGAGAGCTGGAGCCAGAATGTGAAATAACAGCTGTGAAACGGACATGAATGTCAATTTCACTCCTGCTAACTCCCTGTCCTGGAGAAGGGAGCCTAGTTACAAGTAGAATCCTGCATGAAGATGTGGCTCCCAGAACTGCTGCTGTGGTGCCCTGGCTCAACCTGGAGCACAAGCTGTAAGCCCTGTGCTGGGCTGACGGCTTGGATTGTCAACCTAACTGGCAGAGGGGATCCCAGAGTCCTGTTCAGGGTTGTCAGCCCCAGGGCGGTGGAGCTCCACGTGTCAGTGCCCTACAATTCCCCACTTCAGTCAGTCCCGGGAAGCACTCTTGGTGAGGATACACATGATTCTAATTACTGCAGCTGGCTGTATGTCAACTTGTTAATTTGTAGTGTACCCAAGCCCTAACTCAATTTTCCTTTTTGTCTTGTGACTGCAGAGGTACTAGCCGCACACTTCACCTTCAACAGTCTCTTACTATGCGTTTGCTATTTATGCTAAATCATATATGCCAGTGTTTCTCAACCAGTGGTATGAGTACCCTTAGGGGTACTCGAGAGAAGTTGGGGGAGCGGGTACATCGAAAACTGAAATTTGGAGAAAACTGAATTTTTGTTTTAAGTTTTAGTGTTTTGGGGGGTTTTTTGTACTTTTTACACCCAAAAATGTCATTGCCCGCCTGGCTACGATCAAGTTGTTTAAACACATTTGTTGCAACAGTAGAAAAAAATGTTGTGTGTCTGAAAATTGTAGGTACTGGGGATATTTATAATTTTTTTTAAAAAAGGGGTACTTTATATAAAAAAAAGGTTGAGAAACACTGATCTGTGCTACCTTGTATTTAGCTATGACGACAGAGAACCAATGACCAGACCCAAAGAAGCCATGTAGCTCAAAAGCTTGTCTCACCAACAGAAGTTGGTCCAATAAAAGTTATTTCCCTTACCTTCTCTCTCTAATAACCTGAGACCAACACAGTTACAACAATAAAAGCATAGTTTAAAAAGGTTACCTTGAGACTAAAAAACACATCCTCTTGACTCTTCATGATAATTCAAGGATGTTACCCATCTTTATTGTTATACTGAAGAAACCAATAATTATCCCTCATGTAAAAAGCATTCCAAAGCAGTATGACAAGGGAAAGATGTGTGCAAGACTTATTTTAGCTTGAATGGGCAACCAAACATTGAATAGAAGGGCCAACTTCCCCAGCTACCCTCAGTTACCTAGAAGGAGAATGTTGTACAAAGCTGAGAATCTAGAAGCTGAGAGAGAAAGAGAGAAGAGATACATTGAGAAAGAACTTGATGGGAAGGAAAAGGCTGGTTTAAAGCTAAATTATGTATTATCTGAAAATAAGTTTGATTTGTTCCTGGCATGAGGCAAGTGTCCAAGCCAACGTGGTTGCTGAACGCTGATCCATTTCACACTGCAAATGTAGACAATTCCCAGGCCCACTGGGAGTGGCCCCCCTAACTGGTTAACCATCACACGTAACCGATTAACCAATTACGTGGGATTTTACATCCCTAATTTGAAGTGGGTATAACCACTACCTCAAAGGTGGCTTGCAGAAATCTGACTTTTTTAAAACATTACCAAAGCAAACAACTTCATTTTTTCCCTCTTCTAAACAGCATTTTCCTGCTTGGTTTTACACTAGAAATTTAAGTTCTGTCCACCCATTTTTCAGAGAAAACTTTATGGGTGCTTAGTGAACAAATAGGATTACGACATCACAATGAATAACATTTCAGCAAAAGAGGGGGCAAGGCAAACTGTTTTATTAACATCCATTTAACTCAAACAGCGGGGGAAAAGGTCTATGGCAATGTTTCAGCTAAGGGCTGGGATAGCTCCCAATTTTAATGCTCTGGGCCTTTAAGCCTTCCTGCAGAGACCACACTTGATACATGCTGCTTGTGCTACTACCCAGAGCTTTGCTTTTGGGTCATCGGCTTAGGCACCTTTCCCATTCTGACTGCTTCCAGGGAAGAATTAGGCAAACGGTTATTTTCTCCTTCCCCTGGCAGGCCTCAGCGGGATGGTCTGGTCTTTCAACAGATTACAAAAAACCAACTGAGCTCTAATAACAGAGCAAGGCCCAAGCTGGATGGAAAGTCACCATCTCCCTGGCAGTCACCAAAAATACCACATCAGGACCTCAGAGATTACACTTCTCATCTCACACTTTATGACCCTCTTTTTGGTGGGCTTAAGCCACTGAAGTCTGCTGGTTCATAGAATCATAGAATAATAGGACTGGAAGGGACCTCAAGAGGTCATCGAGTCCAGCCCCCCGCCCTCAAGGCAGGACCAAGCTCCGTCTACGCCATCCCTGAGTAGCCAATACACAGACAAGACTAAAAACTGCAGCACTGACAATTTACAAACTTGCCAACACACCCTAAAACAAAAACTTTCCACTACTGGCAACAGGAGAAATAGAACATTCAAAATGTATTAGGCTAGAACCGATTTCCATTTCAGAGACCACCTCGTGTGCACTGCAGAAGTGATGCACCATCCCTCATGTTTCCCAAGGTGACCCTTTCCAAGGATGTGCAGCCTCCAATAAATGCTCGGAGGATTACAGTTTGCTGGGGAGCATGTGACAACTCAGCAAGGATCACGGATATGCTCTCTCTTTTTGAAGTTTTGGTTAACTTAGAACTATTTAAACAACATTCTTGGACTGACTAGTATCTCAGAGTCCTCAACATACAGTTGTCAGTGCTAGCAAAAGAGCAGTACTACCTGATGACTATCTGCAAGCAACTGGGACAGAGCATTACAAATGTGAAGACCCGAGTCACTCAATTGTCTTGCCAGTGCCCACCTGCTTCTGAAACACTCACTAGCTCCTATTTAAAACATCCACTTTTCCATCTCCAGTTGATGGGCAAGGAGCTCAATTTCTCCAGCTGTATTCTCCTTTGTCACTGCCCCACCCTGGCACTGGGCTAGTCCTTCCGGGGGTAAATTCAGGTGATCTGTAGGCCATTTTAAAGTTGTACTGGATTCAACAGGCCCCAGAGGAGCTATCGCGGCAGGAGAGGATCATTGGGAAGCCTTTGTTAATTCTTCCACAGCCCATTTTGTGCAAGGATCAGGGCTGAAAGCAAACGAAGTAGAAGTCTTCCTGTTCAATGTTATTACAAAATCAGAGAGCACTGCAGAGATTGCACAGTGAAGCATAAGCGTCGTCTTCACCACATTCCACAGGGGGGAGTGGGAGGGTTAGGTAAAATTTCCAAAAGCGCTGAAATCTCACAGATTTGGACATCTACATTCTTTATGATTTTGTAAATTTCCTCCATACTAAAGCTTGTCACATGCTCTTTCCCCTTGCTGTGTTACTTGCACTTGCAAGCCACGTCTCCCTCCAATGTTTTGCTACAGCTGCTGCAGCTGACCACACCTCTGTGTGCAACTTGGATACACCCAGGAGCTGATTTTAAGTGAAAGGCTTGTGACTAGTCCAACCTCTTTGGTGCTATTCCTCACAGACTTTTCTACAGCTTAGCGAGCATGTGTCATCACTGGTGAGGCCGTGTAACAGTTTAGAACACTTCAACCCCAATCCCACACAGAGTGCAAGACCCACAGCAGCGCCCTAATTTAAATATTACTTCCTGAGAACAAACAACAGGCAAGCAGACTAAGTTTTCTACTCCAATGTTCTGCAAGATCGTCTATGCAACACTTGGATGATTTTATCATCAAGCAACCAAATGTTACAGCTGAATTCAGACAGTAAGTGCCCAATGTAATGAGTTACAGTGAAGGACGTGATCTCAACACACACTGTTCAGTGAGGTCCAAGAAATGGGCCACTTTTTGTCTTACCTTTGTATTAGTTCCAAACTCTGGAGCAGACACCGAGATCATCGTTCCTATTTCAGTGCTCAGTTCATTTGCAGCTTTAGTTTCTTTTGTCGAAACAGGGTCTGGACTCCTGACAGCAGTGGTACTGGGCTTCTCCTGCACCTCGGGCTCTCCCTGCTGGGCATCCTTCACCTTTCTGTTCTTTAGCGAGCGCTCTTTCCCAATAGGACCAGGCTTATATTCTTTGTTTTCTACTGGATTCAAGTCTGGAAGCTAAATTAGTGTTTTAACTTGTCAGAGCTGGCTTTTTTAGAGAATGTTAAACCCCTTACATGCCCAGGAGAGTAAGAGTCAAAACATTTTGTTGACATCTACCAAGACTCAAAAAGCGGTGGGCCTGTTCCTTGAGGGAGCAAACAGTAAGGGTTCTTTAAAGTCTAGTTAGCCATGTTAACCAAGCACCAGATAGTTAAAGCAGTACAACCTTCTAGTGCAGAGAAGTGCAAACAATTGTGCCTTAATTAAAAACTGTGTGTTTAACTGAAAAAAAAATGGCATTTTTTTTACCTTTGCAGATCACCTTTACACAACTCATGTGACACTTGCACAATACACACTAAATGCAAGACTGAGTTCAGTTCTATTTCAGAAGAGTGTTTATTACTAAAGCATTTACATCAAGTCAATTATAGGAACCTTTAGTCTGAGTAGTCCTCTGCTGCTATTAACATTAATTATGCAAGTGCATCTAGAAGACAGGCTACCTGGTCAGTGTGACAATTATGAAAACTATGCTGGCTCTTTAACAAGTACAGGATGAACCTCTCTAGACCAGCATCATTGAGATCTGACCGGTACCAAACCAGAGAATTTGCCAAACCATAGGAGATCAGTATTGTCTAGCAGCATTACCAACACTTCCACTGCTTACTGGGCTCTTAGAAGACAGCTGGGGTAAAGAACACACAGCCTGGAGTGGTAGCCATAAGCAAACTTTGAGACTGGGGGAATTTGGCCATCCCCATGATAAGTGGACATCCAGGTAACTAAAATCATGCTGGACCACAGATACTGCCAGATAAGAGTGTCCTGGATTAGAGAGGTTCAACCTGAAGGAGGCACTCTAATGACCTTCAGTTCTGTAAGTAACAATGGAGTTAAGTAACTAAGTGGTTTTCAGGAAAAAAAAACCCCTAAGCAGTACGCAAGTGTGCTGGAACCACTGTTGGAAATCAAGCAACAATACACCTGGGACCTCAGGGATAGGCTCAGTTCTTACCCACCAAGTTACTCTAGAAAAATGCAGAGGACCACTGCAGGACGAGCAGCTCTTGTTCTTTCCCCACTCCCTGACCTCTCACA